CCCCCCACCCCAAACGTATTCAATTTAATGATACCATTATCTGACTTGCCTTTGTCTAAAGAATGTCAGCTTGGTTCTCGTGCGTCATGCTTGTTACTGAATCTGTCTTGGCTGTTTTAATCATTTATTTTGAAAGTGTAAGGTAAAATTGCTGATATTTTCATTGCTAATGAACATTTTCTACTCATACTTTGCTTTCTGTTTCAGATTACACATCTCCAAATCTCTAAGGACGCTAACCTGGTTGTGGTGGCAACAAATGACAGGACTCTGCGTCTCTGGTCTCCCGTTGGCCTCCGCGAGATTGCCAACTACAAAACAAATTTTGATATTTTGGACCTACAAATGACGAGCGATTGCCGAAAGATAGCAGTGCAGGGCGTTGGGCAAGAAGACCGACCAGTCCTGGAGATCTTTGAAGTAAAGAACATCGACGACGTGCTTATGCTAGTGGCCGAGAGAAAGAAGTCCCACCAGCACGAGGTGAGCGAGAACCTGAAGGACGAGCGGAAGCGGCGGGCGAGCAGACGGATGAGCGAAATGCGACGAGATTCTCTGCCTCCTGCAGCAGACCTTGATCTTGAAACGTAGCATGACTGAAACCTGGAGAACCGGACAACTAAAGCACCTGATGATCACAGTGGTTGATATTTAATTTAAGGACAACGAAAATTTTGAACAGCTGCGGCAGAAGTTTTGGGTTTCTCTGACACCATTAACAGCAAAGGTTTAGAATGAACATTATCTGGTCGGATGAAATCCAGCGTAACTATAGCAGGTATGAACAGACGTGTCCAAGTCGGATTAAGTGATTCTGAATGTTAAGCTGGCCAAAGCAGGTGAAAATTGAATGAAATAGGTTGAAATATCCAAGCTCGAAAAAGAAAGTAAAAAAACGGACACAATAACATCATTATCTTTAAGGGTATTTCATGAGATAAAAGAGTATCTATTGTTTCCAAGTGGGCCGAAAACTATTAAGTTTAATTTTCAAAACGGACAGTTTTGGTTTTGTTGGTGACGACAGTGCCGAGATAGAAAAAAAATCTACTTACCACGAGCCACATTCATTTCTAATTATTCGGTCAACTCGTAGGAAACGAAATGAAATTGTTGGAAGGGTGTATTTGACATGCAGGCCGTAGCTTTCCCCATTTCTGAAGTATAGTTTAAGCCTTGAGAATTTTTTGCTTATGTCAACTTTGGTTGCAGTTGAGAAAACTTGAAGTTTAGAAAAAGAAGCCCCACTGATTTAGACCAAAACTAAGTTGGTTATATTTAGAATTGTCTACAGAGCTCGTTTGTTGCCTTTATAGCCTGCGCACATTATCATTGATGTCCAAGTGAACGGCTGGTCGCATACCTTTTAGCTAGCTATGAAAACGTGAGAATCGTAGAACGCAACTTTTTCCGGCAAGAGGTTTTGATGACATCAGCATAAAGATCCATTCATTTATTGTTCTTTCACGGTGATAACTCCTGTACATTGTTGGTATCTTTTATAATTGTTACAAACTCTTCATTTATAATGCCCTTTGGACTCGCTATAATAGTGGCATTAACTCCTGTTGTAGGACCGAAGGGTATCAGTTATTTTGCCAGCCCCAAGCGTCATTTTGCGTTATGAGACGCGATGTTTTTTAAATATCTTATTTTGTACTTAGAAAGGTTAGTTTAACTGTTTTAACTTTGAATGTTTCTACGCTGTGTGAATGATTTCCCGCTAGTATTCGGATCTTCTTTCATTTTAGCGACATATTTATTGCTCATCTAGGCTCTACATTGTTTCTTTAATTATCATCATCATCATCCAGTGCCAGATCTGCGACAGACATCGGCGATCAGGATTTTCCGTTCATTCCTTTGCTCGGATGCTCTCAGAAAAT